TTTATACTCTTTCACATCAACATATATCGAAAACTTACCAAAATAAGGGTTTAGAGCTCAAAACCCTAATTTCCCAATAACTTTCCTTGTTCTTGAGGCAAAACGATCGCAAAACATAGTTTTTGTTGTGACCTAAAAGACCAAAGCTGCAAGTGATCACCTTGTCGAAGACTATTAGCTTTGACCACATGGTTCCACTGCCTGTTTTTATCCCTTGCTGCGCGTCCTGCCAATCCCGCGCATCGCTCAGAATTTTCAGTTCTACTTCTTTATCAGAAAAAGCTCGATTCTCGTAAATCAAGCTATTTCGAGTCTTCCAAAGCTGCCAGAAGATCCACGGGTATAAGGCCACCATAATTCCTGAAGGGGGAAGGTTTATACGGCGAGACGTAGAGAGGAACAAAGCCATCGAATCCATCGCTCCTCGCTGCGGTTTGAACAACGATGGCATAAGTTCCCATACTCTGCTAGCAAACGAGCAATTGATCAATATGTAATTCATCCTCTTGTTCTCCACATCTTCTGCATCTAAGATCTGCATTGATTCCTCGGATTGCTAAGTTATTACCAATTGGTAATGCTCTGTTTTTTAGTTTCCAAAGAAACGTTTGAAGCTTTGGGGCTGTATTCACCTTCCACACATTCTCCCACCAATTAAAATCCGATTCAATTGCATAGGTGATAATTTTGTTAAAGTTGTAGTCTGTCTTGGTTGTATATATCCCTGATTTATCAGGTAGCCAAACGAGCGAGTCCTTTAGCTCAAAAGAGCTCAGAACAAGTTGTCTGATTTGTCCCTCATAATGAGGTAAAGTTTGTCGAATCCTCTCCACATTACAAGTGTTAGTTGCTTGATGAATCGTGTCAAAGTTTGGAGGTCCTATCGAGGCCTGAGGTAGAGATGTGGAGAGCCATGAACTGTTCCATACGTTAATTTTTGTACCATCTCCAACTAACCAACCGAGTCCCCGTAACATAGTATTTCTCCCTGCCAAAATACCAGTCCAGCCGTGTGAAGAAGCATTTGCCGCTGTAACCTCTAGGAAATTTGTATCGG